CCCCCCCCCGCCAAAGCAGGGCTCCATCCCCGGACCCGGCCGAGATCACGACCTGAGCCGAAGGCAGATGCTTAACCGACTGAGCCACCCAGGCACCCCTCAAACTGCCTCTGATAACCTCCAAGCATCATCCCTCCAACAATCACCAAATCTACCCCAAGCCATCTTCATTAGCTTCCTGTGGGGGCTGTGATGAATTTCCACAAACTTGGTGGCTTATTACATAAGAAATGTATTGTCTCACAGTTCTGGGGGCCAGAAGACCACAATCAAGGCGCCAGCAGGGCTATACTCCCTCCAGAGGCTCTAGGGGAGAATGTTTGTCACCTCTTCCTACACTGGCGACTGTCAGCATTCCTTGGCTTGTAGCCACATCACTACAGTCTCTGCTTTGGTCACAATTGCCCATCCTGTCTGTGAAACCTGCCTCTGCTTCCCTCTTATAAGGACATTTGCTATTACAATTAGGGTCCCCGTGATAATGCAGGATAATCTCCCCACCTCAAAATCCTTACCTGAATCACAACAGCAAACTGCAAAGTCCTTTTTCTTTTTCTTTTTCTTTTTTTTTTTGCCATCTAAGGTACACTCACGTGTTCCAGGAATTAGGATGTGCATATCTTTTGGGGGGCATCACTCACCCTACAACAGTATACCATTTGGCCCCCAAAGATACACATCTACCCCACATGCAAAATACATGTACCTCATCCCAATACCCCCCAAAAGTTTTATCCATTACAGCATCAACTCAACTTCAAAATCTCACGTTAGTATCATCAGCTCAAAGGTTCCAAATTTCATCATCTAAGTCAGGTATAAGTGAGACTCTGGGTATGATCCAACCTGAGGCAAAATTCCTCTCCATCGCCCAACCTGTGAAACTCGAAAACAAATTATCTGTTCCCAAAACACAGTGGTGGGACAGACATAAGATAGGAGTTATAGGCATTCCTATTCCAAAAGGGAAAAAATGGAAGGAAAAAAGGTGTCACTGGTCCCAAGTAATTTTGAAATCCAGCAGAACATGTTCCATTAGGTTTCAAGGGCTGGGAATAATCCATGGTGGCTTGAGG